TAATAAATTCAAAATTCATAACATCTATATATATATATATATATATAATAATCAATTTTAAAATTTTTCAATTAACATATTATATTATTTAATTTTTCTTTACTATTTTATTTATATTATTAAAAATTTATCTTAATATGGTCGTTTGTTTGGTTAGTGGATCAGTCACGGACCCAAAAGTGTACTAAACACACTATTCCTCATCTCACATCAACATACCATATTATTTTTTCTCTCTCTAAAGTAATATAGTTGAAAAGTTAAACACTATAAATATCAATAATATGAAACTAGACTGTTTTTACAAGATCAAAAAAATAACACCGAATCTTCATAATATTTTTGTCTCGGTGTTTTTTGTACATTCATGATATTTTGTTGTGAAGTTTCAATATTACTTTATTGTTTCATACGTTTAATAAAAATAGATTAATATTATATGAATCCAACTTCTATAAATAGAATTGACTCGTTTATATTTGGTCAAAGTGAGGAAAACAAAATAAACGACATTGATGTCTTACATCCATTGAATAAATGATTTATTTATTGTAATAAATATTATAGAAGTATCATCTAAAAACATAATATTATTATTTTATTATATATAAAATAATAAAAATATAGTTTTCAGTGGTGAAATAAAGAATGTTGGTTATTAGGAAAGAGATAAAAAGCATTAATCATACATTTTCATGAGGCCATTTAATGATTACAGGAGACTTTTGTGCTAAAAAAGAACTTTACCTTTATACAAAAATCCTTAAATATTTACTTAAAAGTATTTGATTTAAATCATATTTCCAATAAAAATATAGGATTTTTATTATATATATATATAGAGAGAGAGATGGGTTAGTTATTATACAACCATTGACATTTGTACAACCAATACAACTCAATTTCAATCGTTCATTTCATTTGATCAATATGTGATTTCATATAAGTTTTGATTGTTTCTTAATATAAAGTATTGATCATAATTAATGAACCATATTCATCTTYCATAAATATTCAAATCATAATAAATGAACTCTCATTATTTTCATAAATATCTCAATTTATTGTGTTGCATTGTTTGTACAAATGCGACGGATTGTATTTTAAACAAACACACACACTCTCTCTCTCTCTCTCTCTCTCTATATATATATATATATATATAATTCACACATATACCATGTTCAAATTGTGACATGTAGTTCTTCGAAATAAGAGATTTATGGGATGTTTGGTTAGAGATATTAAACAGTAATCAATGAAAATGATAATAAAAGAAACTGTTTGTTTTTGTATAATATAATGTGTTCATTCTCATTCTTATTCTCCAACCTAAACTAAACAACCCCTTGGTGCAAGTACTCATGACATATCAAGATAGTAAATCATTCACCCTATAATTGCGGGCGGTATCATCTCAAATTCAAGCATACCGTGACATGGGCTGGAAACAAGGGTAGCAAGATTTTGGCATGTAATTGGACGGACCATCAACCATGTGTCGCTTGGTCAATTTGACTAGCAAGAGATAAGTTTATATTCAACCGTCATTGTAGTTGCTCAAAATGTCGCTTTCAGAACCGAATAACATTGTTTTTGCCAAAGTATCATGTTGGGTTCATTTCAACCTTGATTTCATATCATATCTATTTAACATTGAAACTATAATTATTTATAAATATCATATAGTTTTGTTATATCATTTCAAACTTAATAAGTATTCAACAGATATTTCTACACCTATAAATACTTAAAGTGTTAAATATAAGAGATCGTTTACCCAAATACTTAGAGCAACTCAAATAGTTATGATAAAATGGAGAGAAAAAAATATTTTAGCAATTTTTTTGCTCCAACGACTATATTATCTTCTATGATAAAATAGAGAAAAGATGAGAGAGATTGTAAAAAATCTCTAAATTTAGAAGAATCTCCTCTAAATGGAGAGAAATTATTGTTTTATTAAATGTATTACATATTTTGATAATATAATTGATGTTAAAATTGGTAAAATATAGTAATTGTTGGAGTTGAATGCAATTTTTCTTATAGATTTTAGCTTTTAATACTCTATTAGAGGAAATATAGTATATCTATTGATTTACTCAATAAACATTTATCAATACAAGTCAACACTTTTACTTATCATACCATGTATTCTAGTTCACTTAAACAAAATCAAATATAATTTTATTTTATTTTTTAAATATCCAAAATTTCTGAAACAAACATAAGTGTTGGAGAGATTATAAAATTAGACATATAAAATAATAAAAATAATATTAATATAAAATAATAAAAATAATATTAGGTGAGGTGAGAGTGAGACACACAATCCATATTTTTTAACGTTAAGTGGGCAGGGGCAGGGGCCTGGCACCACTAGCCGTTACTCATTTGTTTCCCCCTTTAATGTTTACATTATCCCTGAATCTACGCGATACGAAACGGCCTTCACATTTAACGCCGTCTAAAACTCGCTCCAATTTCACATTGCTTTTTTGCCAATCCAATTTAACGCCCGTTATTGATGCACCAGTTTGACCATTTATTTAATTCAAGTTAAATTATACTATGTTTGGTAATTTACTTTTTTCTATTATTAAATTCTCTCATAAATATCAACATCACATTTTAATTTTTAATGTTTCGAATCCACCGAAAGGTATTTGATGAGACATAAACAGTATGTATAAATTATTCATTTATTTATCTATATAAAATAATATTATACATTATAATATATATATATATATATATATATATATGAAAATCGAAAAAAAATGAAGAATACAAAACCCTTCATTAACCGTTGGATTTAAAAGATAAATAACTCAAATTCAAATGTAGTCATCTCTATAATCGTGAAGTTCCTTATGGGAAAATGTACTCGCCCCTGTTATTCACTGCCATTGAATAAAACCAATCGATATATAGGGTTTGCCCATAATATCCGTTTTTAGGTTTATCTTGGACCAACTCCTATATGTGTGTGTGTGGGTATGCATGTGCGTGTATATGTAGGAAGGGTTCCGACGAAAACACCTTCATTTTACGAGAACACTCTTTTACTATAGACAATCACATATGATACAAATGTAGTACTAAATAAGAGACATGGACGACTTTTGGTGTGATCTAAATTGTGGGCCAAGTTGGCTTTACACTACTAATTAAGTCCGTCACATATATTATCACATGTGATAAGAGTGTTCT